CTTATCCTAACCCTAAACCTAACCCTAAACCTAAAAGTTACCCTAACCCCTAACCCTAACCCTTACCGTAACACTTACCCTAACTCTTACCTCTGACCCTAACCATAACCGTAATCCTTACCCTAATCGTGCTCAAATCGAGCTCGGATCGAGCTCGAATCGCTGTCGACAAACCTGGAAATGTGGAGTTTTGTTCCGCCACTACCAAGGAAACTCCTGCCTAATTGTGTTTTAATTGGTCTGTCTATTGTTGTACCTGTGCTTTCGGTATGAAAACTCAGGCAAAATATGTATATTACTAACTGTGGTTTGAGATTTTGTAAATAAAATACGATAATTCCGCTAGAACTGGCAGATTTCAGTGCAGTTATGCATATAATCCTTCAATCTGAACCTATTAGGCTGCCTTCTAACGGATTTACTTTAATTTAAAGATTAATTTCCAGGAAAATATAAAAAATGAAAATTAAAAATTGGTATATTAACCAGGAAGCACACAGGGTAAGCCGGGGGCCCACTGGTGAACCAAGCCACCTTGCAATGTGACATGCATCAGTAGCAGAATATCCGAGAGACCGGTGTGTCTAGGCTTTTAGATTGCATCTGTGCAGCCCGTATGCTACAGCATGCAACAAATGTGTACTGGGACTAGCTTGGTGAGGTGCCTTTTAAGTGGCAGACAGGCCTCTCCTTAAATGTCCAATTTGTTGTTGTTGTTGTGATGATAATCAGGGTAGACAGAACCGCTGTCAAAAGATCCTACGGTGAAGTTCAAAGGGAATGCACGTCCCACCAAGGAAGCGATGATCTGCAAACGCTGCATACCCTTCGCACACCTTTCCTAGACCTACCTGGATATGACACTTTACGAATCTTGCTAAGTGTTATTCAAACGGATTTGCTGAGAACCTCTGTGGCGGGCCCGATGGGCAAGTAACTGGAAAATGGTGCATGTTCCAGCTCACAGGACTCAACCAAGATTGTCAGATGGTGGGCCCCGGGGAATCTTGTATTAAGACTCTCGTTTGTAGTTTCAGAAGGGATTTGAAATCAAAAAATTAATGGTGAAACGGGCCAGTAATGTTACAGGCAGAATATTTGTAGTTTCCCATTTATGTGCGATAGCTTTGACAGCTGATTGACGAAACGTAGGCACGTCAGATTGCTTCAAAATTTTCCCTAAGAGCAAAGGCACGCAGAAAATACGGTAACACATAAAACGATGATAATAAATCCGTGCGCCAGCTCCGAGGCAAAAATGGCTAGGGCGTGTCTCCACCGCCTGAAACATTACAACAAGTCTCCATTTGTATATATGGGCCAACCCAGGATTACAAATGGCAATTTTTACTACTTCCTTTAAGTTACGCATTTAAAAAAGGAATTATATCACGCCATATAAACTCTCAGTCTTCCGGAAGCTCAGACAATTCCCTTTATTCACCCCTTGCTTTGTTACATTCCCAGAGGACTAGGACTAACAAAACAAACAGCATTTGTGAGACGAGGCTGCAGGATTGGAAAAAAAACGTTCGCTTCTTCCAACTGCCTACTTTGTCCTATTCTTGCGCCAAAAAAGCTTCGCGCTATGACTCTGGACAGAAGCAAATGGTTGACAAGGAGAAGACTTTAGTCAAGGAGTACACAACATACTTCTGAATGCAAACAACTGACATTTCGACGGGCTTGTCTGACGTAAATAGTATCACCTGGAAGGGCCTACTATTAGACAGTCACTAAACGTCATATATAGTAACCTAAGTACGTGAAGCGGGGGCTGAAAGTTTCCGGTATGCTATTGAATAGAAAGGATCACTTATAAGCTATTACAATGCTTATTAGCTTGGCTCATGCATGTTGAATGTTGCTCATTGCGTCTACAGGCCTCGCAAGAAAAACTCACATTGAAGTAGTGCGTGCATTCAATCTTATTTTCATTCAGACATGAATATATACACCTCCTTCTTCAATACTTTGGCGCAAAGCCTTCTTTAAAACAGAACTAATGGTAAAAGGGACTTTACAGGTGGGGCCATTTAAAATACTGAACGTTAGGGTTGAAATTTTGCTGCAAGCCAGAAAAGTATATTCGGCAAGACTGACTTGTAGGGCCCTCTGGATATCTATTCCCCCCGTCTAACTGTCTAACGTATTTTGTGGTAAAACATTCAACCCTTGGCTACTGAGTGTAAATGAATATTTAATTGTGGCGGAAGTGATCAAAAAATATAAAATAAATAAAGATTACGTTTGTCGTAGTACACTTAAGTAGAATAAAATTCCATCAACATGGACTCCTGTTGCGCAGTATACGCATGCCAATTGAGGGGAATTTGACCTTATGTAGGCGGAATTTAACGAAAATGCAAATTCGACCTTCTATTGGTGGAATTCAACGAAAAAGAAATAGGAAGTCGGGATACGGAACATTTAAAAGTTGTTTTTTATCATAGGTTGACTGGATTCAGAGCCTCTAAAGTCAGTCCTGTCGCATATTCCCTTTATATGCTCGTTTTAGTGCAGTAAATGATCGTGAATTCTACCCGCGCAGTGCAAGATGTAGTCAATATGACACGGCGCGATCCACAATAGAAGATGATGCACCCCAATCTCCAGGAAGGGATCATATAACTGATCCAGTAATGGAATAGCCAGTGAGCTTTCGAGAACTGTGTAAAGCAACCCCGCTACACCCCTTTTACCACCGCTCCAGTATCAGAGTTTATTCCACCCCAAAGTGCGGGAGGGGTGCGTGAATTCACGTTCTATCCAATTTTAAAACAAAGTCACAACATCCTTTTCGATCGTGGGGGTTTTCGAATTGAGGCGCCCTTTTCTTCTCCCTCCATTCGCATGTAAATCTTATATTTACGTAGGTTGGACTACTTCGCCCATCATAAACCGATTGCTATCCCTGTTTGTTAAGATCAGCAGCGCACGACGCTAGCGCCGTTTTGAAAGCCGTCCAATTTGGCCTATATTTGACGAATTTTCCAAGCACATTGATCCACGAGGTCGACAGTTGCAGTCATTGACGATTATGGATTGCTTTTTATTTACCAGTGTTGCAAGTTTGTGCGCATATTTTTATTCCTTGTGAATGCAAGACGTTTTTGCTGAAAAGTTCGGAATTATATTTTTTGAAATTAAAGCTTATCTCTCCCTCTCTTCTTCCCCGTGTTACGTTTAAAAAATTGTTTTTTTCCAGCGTCTACTTAAAAAAAGAGTATTCCCTAAAAGTGCTTGCCACGAAACCAGTCACAAAATCACCGATGTAAGCATCCTCGAACTTAATTTCCCAGGTCCCAATTACTTTATTTTTCAATATATTACTTTGGTAGGTCACTTCCGCTTCCAAAAATGTGAGGTTAACATCGATGGTCTTGTTAATTGCATGGTTGCCCCTAAATACATAAGTGTCTAGAGTAGTCGCCGGCTATTAAGCCCACCTCGG